AGATGATCTCATTTGCTTCCCGGCTAACTAATTTCTACAGTACATTAGATGAAAATTAAGGGAAAGTATTGAATCAAAAAAGAAAATATGAACCACAAAACTATGAAGAAAAATGTATTCTGGGTTTAATAATCTTTTAACACGTTCTTCCTATGTCTTTGATCCTCACGTAAACTCTCTGTTGGGACTTGTTAGTTGCCTCATTGTTTCCAAAGGGAGTGTAAATCAGATTCCTGTCACTCCACCCTGGTCAGACACGTAAGTCCCCTCACTCCTTTTTAAATTCTCTGCACTTGTATATACATGACAGGGATATTTGTTTCGTACAGGTTTACTGGCATTTGGGCTTACTGGGACTTTTTTTGTTTGCATGTGTAACTATATTTTAAAGTATGAATTCAACTTCTTTAATGCTTAAGGTTCTATTTCGTTTTGAGTAAGTTTTGAGGAAATATTTACATTTAATATGTGAAGAAATATAGAAATCTAGAAAACTGTTCTGTTTCAAATTTATGTGGGTATAACACTGTTCACAGCACTAAGATTTCCATGATGGCTGTCCTCTCACTTTTTCATTTTGCAGATTCTCCGTGTCCTCTGAGGGTTATGGAATTGTATCTCATTGTTATTTCTTTTTTTTTTTTTCCCACACCTTAACAAAATGATTTATTTATTTATTTATTTTTTCTCATTGTTATTTCAACTTACATTTTCCTGATCACCAATGAGATTGAACATCTTTTTGACATTGTCTGATTTATCTTCCACATCTCTTAAGCTCTGCCACACACACTATTAGCTGGTTAACCCGACAGTCATTCCCAACCTCTTCCTTGCTGGTTTCCCACTAAAGAGGCTGAAAAATGTTATACCCTCAAATGCCTTGCAGCTGGGGTGACCTTGAAACAGAGCACTGCCAGGGAGCTGCAGGAACCCTAAAAATCCTTTTGCTTGCCTTATCAAAGAGGAAAGGTGTGAGGCACTTGCCCTACCACTTCCCCTTCCTCCTGACTTGCAGGTAGAGCGATGGCTGAAGCCCGGCAGTCTCGATCAACCATAGAGGAACCAGTGCGGGACAAAAACCAACAGATTCAAGATAGAGAAGAGACACTCTGGGATCCTTAATTACAACACTAAGAGGTGAACCAATCCTAAAACTACGTCTGAACTTCTCATTAAAAATAATTAACATCTTTATGGTTTAAGCAATTGTTAGTTGGGTGTTCTATTTCTAGAAGCTGAACATATACTAACTAATAAAACACCTCTATTATATTCTGTATTTTGTAATGTCTCTGTTTTAGGTTCTGGGTAATTTCATTATATTTGTTTTCCAGCTCAGTAGTTCCCTCTTCTGCTGTCTCTAATGAGTTTGGCAACCCATCTCATGTTTTTAATTCCAAATTTTCATTTCTAGAAGTTTTATTTGAATCTTTTTATGAATCTCTTTTTTGATAGTATCATGTTCCTTCCTTATGGTTTCTATTCCTCCTTTCATATCTTTAATATGTTTAAATGTCGTCTTTTTGTAGTCTCCTTCTTACTTATTATCCCAAGTTCTGGTAGATAATCCTCTTGTTTGTCGTATCTGCTGAATAGCTCAAACAAATCATTTTCCTGAATGTCCTGTAATTTTGGTTTCTGAGCATATTTTCAGTAGCCATGTACTACCAGCCCAGACGCTTCCTGCACCAGAGATAGAATAAGCCAAGGGC